ATGCTTCACTCTGTCAATGTCTGTGTAGGATGTGGAGGACCTTATCGGAACAACTACAGAAACTCATTTGAAGCTGCAAGAGGAACGTTTGATCTTAAATCAGCAGTACGTGATCAGGGTGAGAGTCAAGTATCAAGAGAGTAAACTGCCCAATGCTGTGTGGAGCGACTGGAGTGAAGAGTACAGGTGGACATCTGCTGTGGGTCAGACGCCCCACACTCACTCACGCACTCACACGCACACACACATACACGCACACATACACTCACTCACTCACTCACTCACACGCACACACACACACACACATACATACACTCACACACTCACTCACTGAAAGACTGAAATACAGTCTCTTTTGCAGAGGATTCATGAAGAAATGAACAAATCCACGTAAAAACATCTCAGAACTAAAGATTCAAAACCGATTCAGACTCCAGTGATTCTGAATAAGAGGAGCTGAAATTGTAGATGTGGAGATATTAGGGCTGTCAAACAATTATAGTTTTTAATTTAATTAATTACATAATGTGTATGTTAATTAATTGAATTAATCAAAAATTAATCACCCATCAATTTTGGCTGAGAAATTACCAACAAAAGATCATTTAAAGTCATTATTGTGGTAAATGAGAAAAGCATTTAAGGTTTAGACGGCTTTAGACAGAAATATTTTGATTCAGCATAAATAAAGATAATAAATGGGAATTAATGGGCTTTGTAAAAATGAAATGTTTTTTTTTTTTTAAGAAATTAAAATATGAAACTAAAAGCGCCAGTAGGTGGCAGCAAGTGACTGTCTTAATGATTGAGTCATTGAATCATTCAACTGATTCGTTCAAACAGCTGATTCATTCATTCAGAAATGAAGCAATTGACTGTCTTTATGTATGAATCACTGAACCATTGGCTCACTCGATTTGTTCAAAACTGTGTTACTCTGAGACTAATGAATTGATGAATTTTACAACATTAACACGTTTATTTCTGTGAAGCTGCTTTGACTCCGTCTGTACTGTATAAAGCACAGAGTTTTTCCAGCCTTCATCTCTGCTGTTGTAAACTTGTGAAGTTTCATGTTTCTGCTGTGTTTCCAGTTCTCACTGTCTGCGCGCCGCTGCCTTCTACATCCGAGGCCTTCTGTCCTTCTTCCAGGGACGCTACAATGAAGCCAAGTGAGTTTCCTCTTCCTGTTCTCAGACCCGTGTGTGTGAGTTAGAGCGAGTGTGTGTGTGTGTGTGTGTGTGTGTGTCTGTGAGAGTGAGTGTGTGAGAGTGAGTGTGTG